AMYWAAAATCTGTTTGCAGTAATCCTCAGGCATTCTCAAGGGSACTTTTTGGAGCTTCCAGCAATAAACAATGGTTAAATTTTATATTTTTTCTCCAYGTGATGAGAATTTCACTATGTAGTTTCTGTGAAGAGGGTGCGTATTAAATATGTGAAAGTTATGGATGGGGTACTCAGAAATATAATAAAAAYTGACATCTTAAAAAGATGTGTTTATTTGTTAACCTGAACTTGAAAATATACCTTTTCTTCCCTTCTCTTTAAGGTGAAGGAGTACACGAAAGTGATTGAAATATATCAACAGAAAATCGTTAATCTAACCATCAGAGTAGAATATATGGAGAAGAACAGCATATCTTACACAGAGCTGGACTTCGAGTTACTGAAAGTGGAAATCATTGAACTGGAGAGACTGGTCACTCAGCTGAAATCCAGTGTTGTTGGAAGCAATGTTATTGTTGAACAAATATATCTGGAGGTATGCCAAAATGTTAATTATCTAAAGAGGGTTGAAATATACAGATGGTCTGTTCTTTCTCTAGTGTTTAGATGGAGAAATGTAAACTATCTATATTGCAGCCAGTGGAATTACTTTAGGATTTCATTAGCATAAATTAAAGGAAAGATTGACTTTAAGTATATTAACACGTTTTTCTTTGCCATAGAGAACATAAAAAAAAAAAAGAAAAAAGGAGGTACTGTATTTTTACCTGCTATTTGCCTGAAATTCTACTTAGTATAATACATATTAGCTGGTTAAATTATTATAATAAATATTAATTTATAGGCCCCCATGCTTGAAAGGCTTTGTGCTTTAACTGAGGTAATTAAAAAATTAGCTTCTGGTTGCTAGGGCAGTGGCCCAATCAATATGAAATCAGGAACTAGGAAAGACTATCACCTTCCAAGCAGACTATAAATCACATTTTAAAAGTTGTAATTAATCACTCACGTAGAGAGAATAATTGCTTTGGATGGAAGGTAGAATATCATTAGTTGCCTCATTGTCCTCTAGATCATCAAATAGGTGACTGAGAACATTTATCTGCAAATAGAAATTCAAGATACTTTTGTAAAGTTCAATGAATACATCTTATAAATAATAGCTAGTGCTTGCTTAAGACCTATTGGATATTTATATATATCTTATTATATGTCTATAGTAGTATGGTATACAACGGAGTGCTAAAGCATGTCCTTATGGTCACATACATCTGCTAGAAATGTAAGGTACATGCTAGCAGAATAAGGCATATACTTAGGAATTCTTTTTAAAACATGTTCAGCAGCATCTCTGTTAAGATCAATTCTGCCTGCAAATATCTGTAAATAAAGTTGACAGGAATTTAATCTTGCTCTGCTTTTTTTTTTTTTTTTCTTTTTCTTTAGATCACAAATCTGACTATCCTGGTAAATGAATTGGAATCATTGGACAAAAACAATATCCTTGCAATTCGACGACAAATTACATCTCTGCAGAATCGATTGAAAGAGTGTGAGGAGAGCAGAAACCAAACTACAGTTCCTCCCTATATCCCACCAGGTAACCATTCTCTTGTATATCAGTTGGGAAAGAATRCAGTGTGTGGGCAGAAGAGTAAATACAGAGATTTCACATTATTAATATTAAATGCAATTAAATACAATACTACATAACTCTTGAAAAACTGAGCAGACAGCTACTATTTTTTCTTCAACAGATTCAAAAGGAAGGTGGTGGTAGGAGACAAACTCTTCCAGACATGTTTTCTGTTTTCAGCTGCAAAAGATTGTAAATGTTCTCCCACCTGAAGTGTGAAAATGAATYTCTCTAATTTGTCCAAACAATTCCCTCCTACCCACCCTACCCTGTTCTTTTTTTGGAGGGGGTGAGAAAAAATATATATTTTTCCGACCAGCGGTGATTTTCAATAGTTGCTGTTAAAGTGACCTATGTCATGATGACTTTGTTCTAAGGCTATTTGGGAAATGTATGTGCAACAGTTGATATGTTAAAGGTATTGGTATGCAAACTCAGAAAGGCAGCATGGACTGTAGATTACTCTTGTTTCACAGATAAACGATTCTTCTAAATGTGAAGGACAAGAAATGCAGGGGGAAACTTTGATCTCATGGAAATATGGGAAATATGCAGAAGCTTTGTTACTGATTCCAATGGAACTAGATTTTTACTATTTTTAACAGGAAAGAATAGGAAAGSTTACGGTTTTGGAGCCAAGATAAGTGATTTCCAGAGGGCGATTCATATAAAAATAGAAGCTGTCTCAGGGGTTGTGGTTATCAGCTCACAATTGGAATAATTGTTGTCTTGATGGTGCATTCCATTTGAAAAATAACATTATGACTGCGTAGTAGTCTATGACTAGGCTAGGACTGAACAATCAGAGAGAAATTTGAGTCAAAACTGCTTTACTGGAGCACACTTTGGGAACACTAATATAGATATGCTAGGCCAAGATTCTTTCTTACTAACAGACTGTAGGATTTCTCAAACTATGTTGATACCCTGAGTATTTTGTATACATATGATTCCTTTTCACAGAGAAAATAAAGGGAGAAAAAAATATAAGAGAAAGTGCTTTATTGTATAAAATAACCACAGGAAGAATCCTGCTTTTTCACATATACTAGATAAACTGACTGGCAATCAGCTAAACTAAGTAAAGAGGAAAGTGTAAATGAGGAATGCTCTCCTGTGGGCAGGGAGCAGGGATTGTACCTACCAGGGTTTCAAATTTGGGTTGGCTAGTTCAAACATCTCATTGGAAAGATGAGAGGTAGAGAAACAAGCTTTCCTTAAGWTCAGCAGTCTTTGCTATGGTGAGCTCCTCAGGGCTTCAGGGCGATGCAGGCTGTCACTGGACTTTGACAGCACGCACGAGTAACACCTTGTCTGGGAGCTAGACATAAGAAAAAGCTGAAATGAAATCCAGCACTCATAAAATTTCAAGGCCTTTCCCTGCTTCTTTAGAAAGGCTTAAAATGTTTCAGTGGAAAAAAAAAGTGTTTTAAAAGTATTTGAAGGGTTTCTCATTGATTTATTGAGGATGATAGTGTGTGGAAAGAAACAGCCTCACTCTCTTTAAGCCTACAGCAAACCTTATTGAGCTGTGGAACAAGAATGCTGTGTCCTTCCATGACTGATGGAGGAGGGAGTCTCTTGACTCCTTGGTGGTTGCTGTGAATGTCTGTGGGATGTAGAAGCTTTCAGGGTGGGATGGAGATCTACTCTGCACAGTGCAGCTTCATGCAGGTATACGCAAGTSATATCTAGATAATAACTCTGGGATAAGATAAATTTCACTGGATAGTGACCATATTAGAATTATTTAGCATTCAAGGCAAAGTGGTGAGATGGATATAGACTCTCTGGGACCAAAATAATGATATCTTTTTTAGCACTGCCTTTTTCTTGGTTGTCAGCTAGCTCAGGCACTGCTACATGTCATTGCTCTGTGTGGGAATCGCAGAGCTCAAAGGCTACAACCCCAGGTGGAAAGGATGATGACTGATTCACTGACTTCCAGAGAATTATCACCACTGATATCAACTGAGGACCTACTATGGTATTGCCTGTGGGTTCATGTGATACCCCCAGAAATAGGAACCCCTGAGAGGGGCTCCCACTTGGAGGACGTGTGCATAGGTATTGTCACCTTCAGGGTGCAGGTGGTCTCTGAGGTGAGGGAGTCTCAGGAAGGACTACCTGAGCAGCTGTGGAAGACTGGCAAATTTGCTCTGTTCAGAGTTGCCAGCTATACAGATAACTTGGATATGTATGTTTAGATTCCTGCTAATCTACACAGGTGTGGCATATCCTCATTTTGTATGCCTGGTGGGGACTAAAAATAGTTCTCTGGGTAGAGGTGACAATATTTCTTACTGTAGTTTCTGAAATGGTGTGTAGCAATTATATGTAGCACAGGCCAATTCTGTATCTGAAGACAWGTAGTAGGAGGAAGATGTTATTGCTTGGGGAGCAAGCTGTTTTTTCCAGGTGGTCATTTTGAAGCCTTTGCATGGATGCTCACATAGGCCTCTGAAACTCTCTAGCACTCATTTATGTGCTTGAACGCAATTTCCATACGTTTTCTCTGCAAGCCTGGATGCCCTGAATTCCTGCCAAACCATTTGGCCTTGCCCTGTTTTTAGTTCATATTATATTTATAATGTTTGTATTAAACTGACTCTTTGTCCTGTTTTCAAACGGGGTTTTATTTCCCCCTTCCTCCTCTCCTCTGCATATTTTGGATAGGCAACATGAACTTGAGAGAGCTTGGCTAATCCCCAAGCTGTCTAAGACCATGAGTCTAAAGGCAAGTTTAATTAAAGCTTCTTGCTTCACAGTGCTGTAGCATGCAGCCCCTCTGACTCTGTTCCCCAAGGCTTTTGCTGCTGTATTTCTCAGAGTGAGCAGATCTGTTTTTAAACAACCTATTAGAAAAAAAAAATCAAGAGTCTCCATTTGTCTTATCCTTTAATGGGAGAGGTGAGGGTCTAAGTGACTGAAATGGGACTCAGTATGTGTAGACTAAATCATCAAGTTTCATAYCTGTAGAAAATCCCAGCATCTCCCACTGCATTTCTGAAGTGGGAAGGAATGTTTTCCTATTTGTCTTTTTTTCCTTTTGTCATGATCTCATCTGGCTGCATCAGGGCAGTTGCAAAGAGAAAAAGACCCCATGATGGTTCTTTGAGGACTCTGCAGCAAATTCTTTGTCATGTCTCACTAAAATGATCTGGGAGAGGCAGGGGGGTTAAGTGAGTCAGATGAAATTCTCATTGCCAAATTAAATACATAGAGAGTAAAGCTGTTTTTCTAGCTTCTGCTTATTTAGAAAATAATSATTCTTAGCCTCTCGTGAATATGAATAGGTGTCACTGGGGATAAGACCTACTGTAGCCTGATACTTAAGCATTCCTGTTGGACTATTACAGAGATTTTGTGATTTCACTTTTATAGTGAATTTTACTTCCTGTCTACCCAAAACGTTTGTTTCCGTGAATACTTGGATTGCAGTCTGAAATGAGTATGTCTGAACAGTGAGAGCAGTGAGAGAGAGAGAGAGAAAGAGAGAGAGAGAGASAGACAGACAGATAGAGACCCATAGGCATCTCAGGGGTGCAGGTCAGGACATTCTAGATTTCTAGAGTTCTAGATTTTCCTAGAGGGACTGAACTGCTCCTAAAGATACATATGTACCTCCACTGGCTACGAAGGGAGCTAAGATGAAGCATCTAAATCTGTAGCTGCTTGAAGGTATGATGACTTCCAGTTCTCCATCTCATCCTGTGTTGAAACATACACATTCCTTGACTCATTGCCATCAGGCTGTGTTCCTGCCTGATGCTGTATGGGTGCAGACTCAGGTGTTTGTGCGTCTTCCTAGGTCAGTGAGATGGTAGAAATAGACACGAGAGTTTCCCTGAGAGTAAGAGAGATTTAGCTCTGTCTACTGTGGCTCGGGCCACGATAAGGCTGGTAATAGTTCTCACATCTAGATGCAGTGGGTCGTCTGATGGGAGAGAAGGTACATGTCTGGTGTACCTGTAATATTCTGCTGTTGGGCCCTCCATCTCTGCAGGAGTCCCTTTAAGTACAAGCCTTGTATACTTTTTCACTCATCAGCTGCAGAGATGAGTTGTGGTCACTCTTCTGTGATCAGATGCAGCTGCTCGGTGGATCAGGCTGCTGGAATATTTTGGCACTTACATTGTGGAGTGAGAAGCTGATGTGCTGCTCAGTGAGTGCATCAGACACAGCCTTGGCTTGTCAGGGCTGTGTGGGTGAAAGCGGGGTCAGCTGGATGTGCCTGATGCTCAGTCCTGCAGCCCATCAGTCAAGCAAGCTGGGCCCTTGGCAGTGGTGACCTCTATGCACCAGCTCCTTTTCTGATCAGTCAGAAGAGGATTAGTAAATAAGGGGGCTGAGATCCTGGTGTCTTTCGTAGAGAGAGGAGGTCTGTACGTATGTATCTGTTAGTCCTCCTCTCTCCTGTTCACTGCCTGAATATGAGACGAGAAGGTGAAAAGATCAGGACTTTACCAGTGGCCTGAAATAGTGGAACAAAGAAGTTAAAAGCATGAAAGTTCTAATAATGCATATGGATTTATTTCAAGTACCTTCTAATATTTACAAAATTACATGACACTTTGTTTCCTTTGTGCATTTTTCCCCACAAGATGCAGACAGGAAGGCAAGTTTAGATAAAATAAACAACAATGAATTCTTCTGAACCTGTGCAGAAGACAGATCACCCCCTGACTACCACAGAATTTTTTGGTTAAAAAAAAAGGAAGAGTTTTTCAAGGAAATCAAAATCAAGCATATACTATACAGAAACCTCAGATAATTTTTGATGTCATTAAAACGGAGCACGCTTCTAACTTTATTTTAATAATTCATTGTTTCATAAATAAAAACCAAACAAGTGTTCAGCAGAGAGATCTCTTTAAGGGAAGAAATAATAATTTATTATTTCTTTTGTAAAAAAGGTCTCTCTGCTGAACACACGTTTGTTTTTTATTTATGAAACAATGTATGAATTATTAAAATAAAGCTGGAATTGTGTTCTGTTTAATGACATGAAAAATTATTTGAGGTCGCATATAGATGAGCTTAGCAGTTCTTCACTACCTGCAAGCTTTGGTGCTATGCTTTTCTAAACAAATCAAGCGTTTTAGAACATTTAATAACCATTTAATTCTGAGATAAGTATATTGTGATTTAAGCACAATAATATATTCAATATGTCACCAGTTAAAAGAAGTTCTTATGGCAGGGGTAACAATACACAATAGAAATACACAATAGAGATATAAGGGAAAAAAAAACGCATTGATTTATGGAGCTGGCAGGCTGCAAACATTTAGCACTGCCTGCATTAGCTTTCTTCCTCTGCATGAGCTGAGGTGTGAGCACCTCCAAACGCTGGAACCTGAGCCAAGTACTGAGGCCATGTTACTAGCCCTGTGATTTCCAGAGATGCATCCTGGCTAGCCATGCAGCAGTGCCTTCCTTGAGCGCTATATTTGGAAATGAGGTTTCTGCTCCAGGGTCTCAACAGTCCCTCCGTGACAAAAAACAGGAATGTTGCCTTGCTGTGATTTGTGGTGGTGCTGAAGAAAGCAGCGTTTGCCTGGGTTGACCTGCCTTTCCACAATGAGAATCCTCGGGCACAGGGGGAGATGGTGTTGCTTGAGCTTGGCATCATCTCTGTGCAATAAGCTGAGCATTCGATCATGCAGGGCTGCCCCATGGCGAATTCTGACCTTGGGGAACTTGCCAACATGACCTGGGGACACAGTGATTCACCAGTGGCYGTCCCGCAGCTGGGGCTCTGTGTAGTCTAAAACTGCTATCCACCTTCCTCATGGGTACTGAGGAGGCTGAAGTTGCATCTCATGTCTAAGAAGTTAATGCAAGAGAGCAGGGGACTCCGAGGGGTGACAATTTTTTTTGGAAGCAGAGAAACTCTGCAACTTGAGTAAGGAGAAGAAGTGGAGAAACTCTGGAGAAACACTACCCAAAACAACTTTAGACAATGGCACAAAAATTACCCTCTAGCAAATTACATGGACAGTTCTAACATGAAAACCACAAAATTTCTTGCTCCTGAGATAGGTCACCTTCCCTGTGGCAACGCAGATCAGAAAAAAATCTTATCCCAGTCTTTTCCCAAAAAGAACATCTCAAATTAGTCTGTCTCTGCATTTTTTTCTGTGTCTATGAGATAATAACTGGATGTCCCTGAGCACAAGATATGTCCTAGGCTTTTCCTGGCAGTGGTTTGATGAGTTTTCAATTCAGCACCATAAGTACTGTCCAACCTTTCTTAAGGATAGACAGCGTTGAGGGCAGAAAGTAAATTTTCTGTTATTTCTCTTTCTCCTCTGTGCTAAGAAAAAGGATCAAAAGAGTTATTTGTATGATAGACATTTTTTTCATCAAAACTGAGCTTGTGGTCAGTCTTTTTACAGAGCTGTAAGCAATCACATACCCACTCTAAATGCTATAATCATAAAGGACACATATAACTTCCATTGACATAGCTAGTGGTGCATGAAGTTCTTGTTCTGAGAGGTGTATTATTAATATGAAATTATTGTTGCCCTTAATTTATCAATTAATTGAAACATGAGACTTGGGTCTATACAGATAATATATCATCTTTAAGAAAGAATGGTCGGAGCACCCCTCTGAAATGGGAAAGCTTCGAATACTTCCAAGCTTGTGAGCAGGTGCCAGTCACATGMAATTTCTGTCTCTGTTATCTTTGGTGATATGCTCTTAAAGCAAAAAATCTGGGACATTATCGTGACAGTCAAGTGAATAGCTAAAACTTACACTTGGAAAAAAAGAAAAAAAAGCTTGATAGTTTTGCTACTGGCTGCCTTGGACTCATCAGATGCACACACATTTTTCTGAGGGCAAGATTTTTACATTGGTAACTTAGGATGTCCTAAGTTTTTCAGGAAATAGGAATATCCCTTCTCTGCACCAAAATTCTTTTTTTTTCTTTTTTTTTGTTCCAAACACTATTCATCATCATTGAACGCTTATTCCTCTTGGTTGTTTTTTCCTAGTAAATGTGGAATAAATTCTATTTGGCCCAGCAATGCATCTTTAGAAATGTTCTATGGGTTAAAGAAGCCAAACATTTTGATTAAAAAAAAAGAAAAGGCTATTTCAATGGTCTTGCAAATTATTTCATGGTTAATATATGGGAAACAGAACTGTTGTGGTTCATCTTGAGGTTATATTCTGCCTCACATGCAAACTCAGAATAATATCYATCTACATTGCCTAGTTTGTTCTTGTTACTGTCTGCAGAATTCTTTGGGGGCCTGAGGTGGAAGGCATCATGCGGCTGTGACGCGCTGTTGTAAAGCTGTGATTCTGACAGCAGAATGCTGATCTGAAATATGACTCTRGAATTACTTCTGCTACTTCTAGCTTCCACACTTCAGTGATATAAACAGAAATGAGAGGTTCCTTTTTATTTTTTTTTTTCCTCTCTTCCATGTTCTCAGTTCCACTGAGGGAGAAAATAACTCAAAATGCTTCTGAAATTGTATTTTCCAAGGGATTTCCTTGTGCATCAGGCTGGCAGGCATCAACTAGGTAGAAGCAGAAATCTGCTTCGTGTCTGGAACAGCTCAGTGAACACTTATTTTCTGCAAGTGAATCCTGACTGAGGATGAATGTCCTTATCATTTTTCCTCCCCTAAAATACAGTTTTAARTGATATGTACTCTTTGACCACAAGATTTCTAAGGCAATCTGAAATACTTAGCAATATCCAGCTGCTGAACTTGGTCCAAAATAAACATTTTTACACTTGAAGTTAATCATTTATGTCTGTGCTTTGTCACAAAGCCCTATTAACCACCCTGTAGAGGTTATGCTATGCAAAATCTCTTTCTGAAAAACACTTTTGGAAAATCTGTTTCTTCTCTTTGATTGCAGGTAGCTGCATTCACCGTGGACCGATGAATATTAGCCAGCCCTATGTTGTAAAGCTGAACTGGAGAGGATTTTCCTACAAATATGGTTCCTGGGGTAGAGATTACTCTCCTTCTAATCTGGAGGAAGAAGTCTATTGGGTTGCACCATTGAATACAGAYGGGAGATATCTGGAATATTATAGAATTTATAATTCCTTTGATAATTTGTTGCTGTTTGCACCAACGTATGAAAATAGAATAAAATATGGGGAAGGCAGTGGTGCTGCTCTTTATAATAATTTTTTCTACTATCATGCTTACAATACAAGAAATATGGTGAAGCACAATGTAAAAACAAACTCCATAGATTTGAGTAAGGCCCTTCCAGATGCTGTTATTGGTAGCCGCTTCTCTTACGCAGGTGTATCATGGCAAGACATAGACTTTGCCGTGGATGAAGGTGGATTATGGGTAGTGTATTCAACAGAAAATAGCATGGGTAACATCGTGATTAGCAAACTCAATGAGACCACACTTGATGTGCTGAATACTTGGCAGACAAGACAGTACAAGCCATCTGTTTCCAATGCTTTCATGATATGTGGTGTTCTGTACGCCACAAGGACACTCAGTACTAGGAAAGAGGAAATCTTCTACATGTATGACACAAGTACTGGCCACGAAAGTACTATTAGTATTATTATGGATAAAAAATTAGATACAATCCAGAGTATAAATTATAACCCCATAGATCAAAGACTGTATGTTTACAACGATGGTTATCTTCTAAGGTATGATCTGACCTTTCAACCTTAGTATCTCAGGGATACAACCAGGTGGTAAAATTGGGCAGCAACTAAAACGAGAGATCCGAAATGCCTTTTCTCAAAGTTAATACCAGTTTAGAGTTCATTTGGTCTGATAAACAGTATCTACTGGATGTTATATATATTACTTTGATTAGTCTCCTTAAGGGAATGGCTTGCTCTTGCCAGTGCTGTTGCTAGCAATAGTTTGGCAGTTCTGGATTCTTCAGGTTTTGATTGGTGTCTCTTGGTGCTTGGTGCATGGTAAGTATCTTGCCTAAGAGTAGATTTACTGCATAGATTTAATGCATTTTCTTCACAGAAATTGATGAGCACAGATTGCCCATTGACCGAGAAGCTAATTATCCACCAATATGCATTTGTCAGTGTTATACAGGCACACAGAAACAGAGAATGAATTCCCACTGATCTTCATTAGAGTAAACTGAGGCCTTAGAGAAATTAATAGAGGGATTATAATCGTATAGGAAGTCGGACTTGGTCTGAAGAAAGCAGACCATTTGTTAGGTTAGAACAGTACTAGCTAACTAAGGCTTCAAGAGAGGGTCTAGAAATGCAGTTTGTTTTCTGAAGTTCTACTGTGCAGCAGAAAGAGAAATCACTGGAGCAGCAACAAAGCACAGAGCCTTCAGCATGCATTTCACTGCCCAAGCTAATCGCAGTGGGACAACTGCCCCTGGTAGCCCTTCCTCACCTGCAGCTGCCTCCCCGTGGCTTAGTTGTCTCYTGAGAGAAGCAGAGCTGCCAGTGGGACTTTCATTATCTTCCTCTCTGTCCCGCTCTGCTGCCCTTGGCAATTCCTTCTGCCTGGACCTGGCCTTATACTTGGTCCTACTGCAATCTGGCCATGTTTTGTAGTCACCAGGGCTCTATTCTCCTGGCAGTACAATGCAGGAAACATTGTTTTCCTTTCCTTTATGCCCCTGTAAACTGATCTAAATCCTTCCATTGACTGCTGCGGTCATAGTTAGCTCTTAGGTGTAAATCATGCACTGCCATAGAATGACAGTTGTGTTATTTAACATGCTTCTATTCAGCACTTTTGACATTCTGTAATTAGATTTCTGAGAGCCTTGTTCATGTAAGTGATGCTTGTCTAATTTCATCTTATGGTAAAGCAAATGGTCTTGCAGAAAGCAGAAGTCTGCTCAAACGAGCTGGATATGTGTTTGTTTTTTAAATGACTAATGTATAATTGCTTCTGAATGTGTGTCCTGTATCAGTGTGTTACCTTCATCATGTCAGAAAGCAAACTGAAATAATGTAATTCTGAGTTACACAATGATGAAAAAGGCAGTTTTCATTGTTCGTTTTATTCTGTTACCTCTGCAATCAYGTTTGTGTCTTCTCATAATCAAAAGCAATGTGCATGCAAATGGTTACTTGCTGCTTAATAAAAAAAATCTTTAAAAGAATCTAAGCTGTACTCGAGAGCCATTTAAAGCTGCTTGTGACAACTTGGTAACTTCTGGGATTCTACAGGAAGTCAGYCTGACCAAATGTTTGAAACAGGATCATTGCACTCACTTGGGCTGGGTGTACTTAAATAGCTCTGAGAATAACATGAGAGTGTGAATCGATACGTCAACAAATATATAAAAGGAGCTTTATTTCATCACCTTGAAATATACTAGCTGGATAGGATAACATTTCTCCACCTAGGTGAGATGTTATTTGAGACGTCGGAGGCTGATGAACCGATGACACATTTTGAAGCCAGGTCCTGCCACTTACCAGGTATCAGCATCTGTTTCTTGGAAACATACAAAATGAATTTGAAAGCCATGGAAGTACTGGTGCAGTAATCTGATCAGTCGGCACAGGCACAGCTTGCATGTAAATAAATCATAACAGCCCAAATAAGGATTTGKCTGTAAAAAAAGAAGAAAATACTGCAAAGTACATATTTTTTTCTCCATGTTTGTCCATGTCATGTCAGGTAAATAAATTTCCACTTATTATCCAGAACTGCTTTAGGCAGAGGCCTTGGAGTACCTTAGCACACCATGTTTTAAGGTGTGAGCTGATGTTAACATGAGTGTGACTGATTCTGGTGAATTAACTGTGATTCCCAAAGTAATTTCTGGAGACAGGTCATTACAGGATAGTCTTTTCCTCAAGTGATGATCAGCCTGGATGGGCAGTGGAGGTGGGGATGTAGGAGCTGCCCATCACAACTCTATTGCTTTGGGACCCAGATTGATGTGGTCTGACACTGGTCTTCAGTGGAAGACCATTAAGGGTGACCCAGAAGACTGGGGTGACAGTGATCTTTTCTAAGTCAACATTGCTACAAAGAAGATATTTAAAAGATGGTCAGATTCCATTAGCTCAGAGAGAAAACAGAATATAAAACCTTAAAGTGCCTTTTGTGGGACAGAGGCTTGGTCAGGATGTCTCAGACTTGGCAAGCAAGGCAAAGCAAAGGCTTTGACTTTGCCCTCYAGGAAGGTACCCAGGTACCTGGAGTAGAGGCGTTGCATGGGCTAATGGCTCTTTGTGCCTGGGTTCAGTACTAGCAGGAGCTTTTAGTGGGGCAAGGGGGGTCCATCTCATGGTGGGAGAAAGGCATGAGAGAGACATCAGAGCAGCCCCAGCCCCATGGGCATGAACACTGCTTTGGGGACAGGAGTGGGCTGAGGCTGGACCAGGCTCTGACAGCTGGCAATGCCTTTATTAATGTTTTAAGGTGCYTTAGGGATATGTAGAAATACCACTGCCATTTTAGAAACAGAAAAATAGAAGCATGAAATTACTACAGCCCAGCTGTTGCCCTATTGACTTGACATTCCCTGCAGAGGTTTTAGGGAATATAAACAATATTGAACATAAATAGTACCTGCCACAGAGCTTGCAGAACAGGACATCAGTTTGTACGGTGTCACAGAGAAATATAGTACAGGGACTTCAATGTAATTTCATTGATGAGGGGTTTTCACACTGTCTAACTCCAGGAACCTAAGCTAGGAGAATGGTCTGTGATCCAAGCAAAAATCACATAGAAGGAAAGAGGTACCGTTTACATTTTAATCAGAGCACTTTAAGAAGAGAGAGTAATACATCTTTTTACTTCTTCCCCTTAGAGTTGTCCTCTCAGGCAYAGGATGATGGTGGTTCAGCAGAACTGGCTATTAAAATCGATTTGTTTTCTTGAACTGGCCATGAAATACAACCTCAGGCAGTCTTCACTCACTCTCCCTGCTGCCCTTCTCCTGTAGGCAGTGCTACCTTTGCTTTGCTTGGGGTATGTTTCCTCCTCCTCTTCTTCCTTGGACAYACAGAAATATTCACCCAGAAGCACCCCAGCACTAGCTGTTCCTTGTTTAGTGTCTTCATAACATCATTTCTTAAACATAGCTATTGCCCTCAGTGACAAAAGTTTCAGCTTTCCTGACACCTATTGAGCTCCTCCTCTTTTTCCTTTGGTCTGGAGCCACAAAATCATTCTTTGTTCTTTCACCCTTCTTTCCTTTTTCTTCTTTCTTTTTTTTTCTTTTTTTTTTTCATATTGAAGTCTTTCTTGATGGCTCCACCCTCCCTTTTAGCAGGTTAGATGGAAGCTCTTCCAGGAATTTCTCAGCCTTGCCTCCTAGCCACCCCCTTAACCAATCCTCCCTACTGCTACATGATTGATGCCAACCTCCTGTGTTCACTTGTCCCCTTGTCACGGACCTCCTTTGTCTCCCACACTGACACTTCTCTCTGGGACACCCTTTCCAAACAGATCTATCTGTCACCTCCCCTGGACTCTGAATCTCTCATCAAGGCCAACTTCTGCTGTGAAGCTACTCATAAATTGCCAACTGATTACAGACAACTTGTTGCCTTCAGTATGCGACTGATATTTATTTGCATCATATATTCAATTAGCTGGCACATGACAGCACAGAGCTGGCACATTCAAACTCTCTTATTATTCATTCCCATATGTCACTCCCTCACTGTCCGCTACATTCACTGCTTGTATCTCGCCTTAAACGAGACTGAATATGCCTCAAGAGAAAGACCTGTCTTTTTGTTTCAGGTAGTACAGTGCCTAGCACAGGCAGTTGCTACCTTCCTCCTCTCTCCTAGATACTTCCGAGCAATAAACAATAAAAAACAGCCATAGCTGGGCAGGGACTATTGCATGCATCTGTGTTTTTGTCTGAATTTTCATGCATGCTGCTACGTGTGCTGAATATAAATTGACTTTGAAAAGTAGGCAAACAATATGCTTCCAGACAACTGAGTAAACATTCTGCTGGAAACAGTGTTTCAGTCGCTATGTGCACATAGTGTAGCTACAATTCATCCCTAAATTTGTACCCTGTGAGGTAGGATCACTTTCCTGTAAATATTAGATTGCTTTCTTTTCTTTGCATTTTCTGAGACCATATAATAATTGCTCTCCAAAAGCTAGACCTGTGGCACAAGGACGAACCATGCACAGAGCTTGTAGTCATGGTCTTTTCCAGATGGTGGAATAACCTGTAGTTTTGCAGGATGAGAAGATCTCCTTCCAATAGGACAAAATGCATGTTTGCAGCCAAGCCAGGTTTGAGAAGATCGTAATTAAAGACTCGTAACACTGCAGTTTGTAAAAGTGAGAGCCTGTGAGGGTAAATGAGTGTGTCTAGCAGGAATCSTGCCTTCCCCTCTGCTTGCTGGGCTGCTGCCAGGTTGCAAGCTGTTAGCCATGTACCAKGGAGCAAACGAAGTGAGAGAAGCTGCATGGGCAACCATTCTTGAGAGCTCCTCAGGGAATGGCTCTTGCCATTGGCCTACATTTTCTGGGCCAATTGGGCTGTAATTAGCATGAGGCCATGGGTGGGGGAAAACCCGGCTTTAAACCATAGCTCCTTCCCGTCAGTGGATCTGGAGAGTGTTAGTCTGGACCCTGGCACAAGGGTCCTCAGACTTCTTTTTCTTTTGTGTGCTGCTGGTGTTTTCCAGGCAGAAGTGGCACACCATCTCATTTCACAAATATCTCTTTGCCTTTGCAACATCTGTGATACTGGAGAGGGAAAGAGATAACCAGCTAGYAGATCTCTAGATGACAGAAGGTATAACTTGTGCTAGACTCCTGGCTGCTCCACAATTGGCTGGCTCTGTATATCACAGCTGTGTGCTGCATAATGTCCTAAAAAAGATCCCAGGAGATGTCCTTG